ATTGGGGCATTGAGCAACCGGCCTCCCACACGTAACAGTGTTACTTTATTGGGGCCACAATTTGTATCGTGCAGAAATGGAGTAAGTTTCTGCATGCCTGGTTTTAACAGTTGTTTCTTCATCAGTGCATATATCTCATCTTGAAATGCATTTTTTTGAACCTGTTCCACGACCTTTAAGAAAGCACCATTTAATTCTTTGACACTTAGGATTAGTGATATCTCTTTTTGACATTTCCTAGCGCGATTTATGAATCGGAGTATATACGCAACAATTCGCATGAGCTTTATGTATGATGACTGAGTACCGACTAATTTCAAAATTGCGTTTGAGGGTTCTTCCGATACGATGAACACAGCTCTTGTTTTCCTTGTTTCCAGAGATTCTTGCTCCGAAGTGATTATTGGCGCTATTTTAATTGGCCACTTGGCTCATCTTGTGACAGGTATTCAGGCCCAGTTTGCCAAATTGAACTGACTAGTTCAGTAACGTTACATCCTCTGGATACTATGTCAGCAGGATTGTGCTGTGACTGCACATGTCGCCATGTTATATTAGTTGACCATTCTTGTATCTCTGAAACCCTGTTCGCCACGAATGTTGAAAGTGTTGACGGATGCGTTTTGATCCAATGTAGTGTGATTGTTGAATCGGTCCAAGAAGTTACCTCGTCGATGTTGTGATGGAACATTACACGGATTCTATTCCACAATTTAGCAAGCAGATGTGCAGCGCATAACTCTAACCGAGGTAAAGATTTGGTTTTCAGAGGAGCAACTTTTGATTTAGCAAACCATTTGAAACCATTTGACGTTTCACATCTTACGTATAGACAGCAACCATATGCTCGCACTGATGCATCAGCGAAACCATAAATTTGGCATTTAACATTAAAATGCAAATTAGCATATCGCGGAATTGAAATTAAGTTTAACTGTTTCAAGTCATTCTTAAAGGCCTGCCAAGCAGTGTCAAGACGCATGGGTATGGATTCGTCCCAGTCAAGTTTCTGTAACCACAATTCTTGCAATAAAACTTTTGCTTTCACAACAATTGGGCATAATAAGCCAAAGGGGTCGAATAGACGAGCTGATATCGATAAGATATTTCTTTTTGTTGCACGCAAATTTAGGTAAGTGTCGTCCAATTGAAACCTAAATACATCTTTTGTGGTATGCCTAGTGCTTTCGTTGTATCAATATCGGTTATATTCAATGATTTTTTCAACTGCTTATCGTCCTGATAGGTGGAGTGGTTTGAGAACCATTTAGCTAACTGGAACCCAGCTGTCTCCAGAATTTGTGTGACTTGCCTTCGAATTGTTTCGAGTTCATTAAATGAATCTGCACCTGTCAGCAAGTCATCCACTTAGAAATCGGTTCGAATAACATTGGAACCAATTGGAAGAGTTGATTGATTGAGATCACTTAGATGGCGTAAACATCGAGTTGCTAAAAATGGTGCAGACGATGTTCCGTATGTCACAGTGTTCAATTGGTAAGTCTTCAATTCTTCGTTTGGACTTTCCCTCCACAGAATGAGTTGAAAGTCGCGATCTGCCTCGTCAATCAAAACTTGACGGTACATTTTAGTAATGTCAGCAGTTAATGCATATTTATGCATACGGCAACGGAGCAACGTTGTGTACAATTCTTCTTGTATCGTCAGACCCACCAGTAATATGTCGTTTAATGACAGTTAAGTTGATGTTCTCGAAGAAGCATCGAAGACTACACGAAGTTTTGTCGATGTACTTTGTGGTCTTAATACGCACTGATGTGGTATGAAGTAGTGGGGAGATACAGAGAAGTTGCGAGTTGATAAAGTCATGTGACCTAGATTTACGTATTCTTTCATAAAGTCCATATATAAATCATGCAGAGCAGCATCTTTAGAAAGTCTACGCTCTAGTGACAAGAAACGACGCTTAGCTGTCTCAAATGATAGCCCAAGGTTGCTGGAATCAGACTTGAAAGGAAGAGAAACTTTGAATCGCCCCGATGGTAAGCGTTGCACTGACGACAAGAATTTATCCTCGCAAAGTTTGTGCTCAGGTATGAGCGTGGCGGTTTTTTCACTATTGGGAATTTCTTCAAGTTCCCAAAATTTTTGCAACAATGAACTAACTACAGTGTCATCATCTTGAGAAACAGTTAAGGCATTAGCATGGGGTTCAACATTTCTATTGCTTTGATATTTTCCAGACACAGTCCAGCCGAGTAATGTTTTCTGCAGCGTTTGGAGATTCGGACTTTGTTTTATTTGTCCGACTGATAGAAGTTCGAAAAACGTTTCAGCACCAAGAAGAAGATCAATTCTTTGTGACTTGTAGAAATATGGATCAACATGCTCAATGTTTGCCGGAATCTTCCAACTGGCGGTAGAGATATTATGATTTGGTTGGTAGGTGGATATTGTTCACAATACCCAAAAATCGGCTGAGAATTCATGAGAATTGACTCGCGATCTCACAGTCGCATGTAACTTATGCTTAACTGTGGTATTTATCTTACCAATTCCAATTAAATTAAGGCATCCATCTTCCCTTCTTAACTGCAATAGTTGTGCAGTTCCATGAAATTTGTTTGAGAACCAGAATCAAGTAAGGCTCTGGCTGTTCGGTACTCTCCAGACTTACTCTTTACAGTAACTAGTGCTGTCGCCAAAATTACCTGGTCGCAATTAGTAGCACTATGATTTACAAAAACGCGATCGGAATCAGAACTTACAGTTGCGTGAGGGATAATTGGAATGTATTTGTGCAGTAGTGTGTGATGTTGTCCCGTACACACTCTGCAACGTGATGATTTACATGCTGAAACAGAATGCCCTTTTTTTAAACAGTTTATGCACGCTGGAATTGACTTGACTGCGTCGAACCGTTGTGACACAGGCAATTCAGCAAATGATGTACACTTCGTTATCATATGGATATTAGACATACAATATACGCATTTGGGATCATTGGATTGATTCAGCTTGTTGCAGACAAAGGAGGATTTAAAGCTGCGTTTGTCCCGTTTAACACCGGGTTTTTGGTCACACTCTGGCACTGATTTATTATGCTTTGTAGAAGAGGTCTCGTCCGCTGATAGATGTTGGAACCTTTTATTAAGCGCTGCTTCACAGTCACTCCATAATGGCAAAGTGTTGTAGTCCAGTTGTTCTTCCCATTTTGATTTTGTGACTGAATCCACCTTTTGCATGAATAAATGAATAAGAATTGCATTGGTGATATTCTTATCATCTCCTATTGAAAGAAGGGAATCATAGATGGCAGACACAGTGTCAATTGTAGTGCGCAAAGATGCAGCAGACGGTTTGTGAATTACTGGGAGATCGAAAAGCTTGCTAATATTGTCGGAAAAAATGAGACAATTGTTGTCGTACACCTTCCTTAGACTGGCTAACGCTTTTGGGTAATTCCTCTCAGTGACTTGAAAGGCCTTCACAGTACCAAGAGCTTCATCTGACAAACATGACAGTAAATGGTTGAATTTTTCAATGTCCGTAATAGTTTCATCACTATGAACAAGGCTTTCAAACAAACTAATGAAATTTTTATAATCACAGTATTTGCCGCTGAACTTTGGTAGTCGCATGCTTGGCAACTTCGATTGCGGTCGACCACAGTGGTGCGAGATTGCAGGGGCGCTAACAAGGCGATGTTTTTTCAACTTTTGTAAAAACAAGGACTTAGTTGAAACACAGACATCTTCTAAAACAGCCCTATAGTCATCAGTAGGATCCAGGTCAAATATTTTGCTCTGGTATTGCATCGCTTTGTCAATGTAAGAGTCAAGTATTTCCAATCTACACTCTAGCTCACTAGGACTTTTTGCAACATTGCCTTCTAGTAAGTTTGCCTTTAACCTTAAAATGTCGGCAACTACTGCTTCTCGATTATGGATCAAGGTTTCTACCCCCTTTGGAGATTGCAAAGACTGTGATCGCTTTTTAGTAGGCATTTCAGAAAATAAATAATTACAAGTAACAACAAAAGAGAAAAATATTTTGTACTAAATGAATCGACAGGCTTCACGTTTAGCTGTATTGTATATTTTATTCGTTGTTAATAGATAATGTATAATAATATAAATGATATATTTTTTATTTATTGTTAATATATAATTCAATATAATGTTAATAATGTATATTATATTTTTGTTTGTTAATATAATGCAATGTACTTGTAATCAAAAAAGAGAGAATGCAGATGGCAGTGCTGTTAGGATTCTATAATGAAGGAAAATTGTTATGCTTACGGTGATTTTGCCGCTGTAATTAAATTTTATTTAAGCACTGTCCCTCATCTACATTTCTATTACCTGACAATCCTTTGGTCTCCTATTGCAGCAACAGTCGGTGGTGGTGGAGCAGCAAACCGTTGAATTTAGGTTGCCGTACCAGTACCGTTTGTTGAAAAGAAACTAAACGTGGACCGCGATGCGCAATTGCGGCTTTGAATAGCGGTGTCAGTACCGTTTATTAATGACAAAGAGAAACGTGGACCGCGTGGCAATGTGAACTTAATTTAAAAACCAGAAACACTCACAATAAAACAGATTAAAAAATTAAAAGAAACACTTTAAAATACTCCCTGCTCGGGCGCCATGAAGAAACTTTAATGATTTTTAAAGCTATGTTTTTTTATTTCAAAGTTAAAAAACGGGATCTATGATTTCACTATTTCTTATTTATTGAAAATTAATTTATTAAGTTTAATTGTCAATTGCGCACTTCACCGAACCGACCGTCTTTGTTCGCGAGTAAAATTAGAAGAAAAAAACCAAAAGCAAAAGTGCATTGCACAACCGTATTACAAAAAGAAGTAAAGGCAAGCGTTGCCATATAGTTAATTTGAGATGAGTTTTTTATCGGTTGAAGTGCGCAAGTGGTGAATAGAGATTAGTATTTAACATTAATTCAAATGAAAATAAATTAAAATAAATATGTTTGTAAATGTCTTAACACCGGCCACGTTGAAGCACCATAGGTGTTCAAGTTGGAAGCAACCCCAATTTGTGAATTGGCCTTCTTATGACTCCATTGTTTGTTCTAACGTCTGCAACTCGTACCCTGCCGTCGCTCCCGACTACCGTACCTTGAACCCTGCCGATCAACCATTGGTGAGGGGGAAGATTGTCTTCGTGGACAACGACGAGACGCCCGACTGCTACGTTCGGCTGATCCAAGATCCATTTGGTTTTTGTTTGCAAGTTGAGGATATAGTCCTTGGACCAGGCCCGCCAAAATCTGCATTTGATTTCACGTAGCAGCCACCATCTCCGCGCATAATTCAGATTGCTATTTTGCACGTCGACCGTTGATTCTTGCGGCAGCGTGCGCAGAGAATCCCCTATTAGTAGATGTACTGGTGTTAGTGTTTGACCGTCGTTTGCATCTTGACTGAGAGGTTCGATTGGTCTTGAATTGAGAACGGCTTCCACCTGAATTACCAATGTTTGCAGTTCCTCGTTGGTTAGCATTGCGCTGCCCGCTGTTCGAAGTAATAGATGTTTCGCGGACTTGACGGCGGCTTCCCACAATCCTCCGAAATGTGGTGCGCGAGGTGGTATGAAGACAAACTCGATTCCCTCTTGTGCAGCATATGACACCAGCTGGTCTTTCTGTACTTTGAACGTTTGTTGCAGTTCTTTCAGCTCTCGGCAGGCTTCCACGAAATTCGTTGCGTTGTCGCAGTGAATTCGCTCTGGCAATCCTCTCCGTCCCACGAACCTTTTAAGACAAAGAATAAAACAATTAGAAGTTAAATCAGAGACTAGTTCAAAATGTACAGCCTTAGACGTGAAGCAAACGAAAACGGCAACATATGTTTTAACTGGTGGTCGACCACGTATTTTTAATGTTGTATACATGGGACCACAAAAATCAACACCTGAAATCAAAAAAGGACGCGTTGCTGTGACTCGATCAGTTGGCAAATTTCCCATTATTTGAGTCAGAAGTTTCGGTTTATAGCGAAAGCAATGTGTGCAACTTCTTACAGTTTTACTGCAAGCTGCTTTCGCGTTAACAAGCCATATCTTTTGCCGCAAAATTGACCCTAACGCCTTGGGACCTGCATGACAACTTGGAGTGGAAACTTGGAATCATGGCTAATTGGGGCATTGAGCAACCGGCCTCCCACACGTAACAGTGTTACTTTATTGGGGCCACAATTTGTATCGTGCAGAAATGGAGTAAGTTTCTGCATGCCTGGTTTTAACAGTTGTTTCTTCATCAGTGCATATATCTCATCTTGAAATGCATTTTTTTGAACCTGTTCCACGACCTTTAAGAAAGCACCATTTAATTCTTTGACACTTAGGATTAGTGATATCTCTTTTTGACATTTCCTAGCGCGATTTATGAATCGGAGTATATACGCAACAATTCGCATGAGCTTTATGTATGATGACTGAGTACCGACTAATTTCAAAATTGCGTTTGAGGGTTCTTCCGATACGATGAACACAGCTCTTGTTTTCCTTGTTTCCAGAGATTCTTGCTCCGAAGTGATTATTGGCGCTATTTTAATTGGCCACTTGGCTCATCTTGTGACAGGTATTCAGGCCCAGTTTGCCAAATTGAACTGACTAGTTCAGTAACGTTACATCCTCTGGATACTATGTCAGCAGGATTGTGCTGTGACTGCACATGTCGCCATGTTATATTAGTTGACCATTCTTGTATCTCTGAAACCCTGTTCGCCACGAATGTTGAAAGTGTTGACGGATGCGTTTTGATCCAATGTAGTGTGATTGTTGAATCGGTCCAAGAAGTTACCTCGTCGATGTTGTGATGGAACATTACACGGATTCTATTCCACAATTTAGCAAGCAGATGTGCAGCGCATAACTCTAACCGAGGTAAAGATTTGGTTTTCAGAGGAGCAACTTTTGATTTAGCAAACCATTTGAAACCATTTGACGTTTCACATCTTACGTATAGACAGCAACCATATGCTCGCACTGATGCATCAGCGAAACCATAAATTTGGCATTTAACATTAAAATGCAAATTAGCATATCGCGGAATTGAAATTAAGTTTAACTGTTTCAAGTCATTTTTAAAGGCCTGCCAAGCAGTGTCAAGACGCATGGGTATGGATTCGTCCCAGTCAAGTTTCTGTAACCACAATTCTTGCAATAAAACTTTTGCTTTCACAACAATTGGGCATAATAAGCCAAAGGGGTCGAATAGACGAGCTGATATCGATAAGATATTTCTTTTTGTTGCACGCAAATTTAGGTAAGTGTCGTCCAATTGAAACCTAAATACATCTTTTGTGGTATGCCTAGTGCTTTCGTTGTATCAATATCGGTTATATTCAATGATTTTTTCAACTGCTTATCGTCCTGATAGGTGGAGTGGTTTGAGAACCATTTAGCTAACTGGAACCCAGCTGTCTCCAGAATTTGTGTGACTTGCCTTCGAATTGTTTCGAGTTCATTAAATGAATCTGCACCTGTCAGCAAGTCATCCACTTAGAAATCGGTTCGAATAACATTGGAACCAATTGGAAGAGTTGATTGATTGAGATCACTTAGATGGCGTAAACATCGAGTTGCTAAAAATGGTGCAGACGATGTTCCGTATGTCACAGTGTTCAATTGGTAAGTCTTCAATTCTTCGTTTGGACTTTCCCTCCACAGAATGAGTTGAAAGTCGCGATCTGCCTCGTCAATCAAAACTTGACGGTACATTTTAGTAATGTCAGCAGTTAATGCATATTTATGCATACGGCAACGGAGCAACGTTGTGTACAATTCTTCTTGTATCGTCAGACCCACCAGTAATATGTCGTTTAATGACAGTTAAGTTGATGTTCTCGAAGAAGCATCGAAGACTACACGAAGTTTTGTCGATGTACTTTGTGGTCTTAATACGCACTGATGTGGTATGAAGTAGTGGGGAGATACAGAGAAGTTGCGAGTTGATAAAGTCATGTGACCTAGATTTACGTATTCTTTCATAAAGTCCATATATAAATCATGCAGAGCAGCATCTTTAGAAAGTCTACGCTCTAGTGACAAGAAACGACGCTTAGCTGTCTCAAATGATAGCCCAAGGTTGCTGGAATCAGACTTGAAAGGAAGAGAAACTTTGAATCGCCCCGATGGTAAGCGTTGCACTGACGACAAGAATTTATCCTCGCAAAGTTTGTGCTCAGGTATGAGCGTGGCGGTTTTTTCACTATTGGGAATTTCTTCAAGTTCCCAAAATTTTTGCAACAATGAACTAACTACAGTGTCATCATCTTGAGAAACAGTTAAGGCATTAGCATGGGGTTCAACATTTCTATTGCTTTGATATTTTCCAGACACAGTCCAGCCGAGTAATGTTTTCTGCAGCGTTTGGAGATTCGGACTTTGTTTTATTTGTCCGACTGATAGAAGTTCGAAAAACGTTTCAGCACCAAGAAGAAGATCAATTCTTTGTGACTTGTAGAAATATGGATCAACATGCTCAATGTTTGCCGGAATCTTCCAACTGGCGGTAGAGATATTATGATTTGGTTGGTAGGTGGATATTGTTCACAATACCCAAAAATCGGCTGAGAATTCATGAGAATTGACTCGCGATCTCACAGTCGCATGTAACTTATGCTTAACTGTGGTATTTATCTTACCAATTCCAATTAAATTAAGGCATCCATCTTCCCTTCTTAACTGCAATAGTTGTGCAGTTCCATGAAATTTGTTTGAGAACCAGAATCAAGTAAGGCTCTGGCTGTTCGGTACTCTCCAGACTTACTCTTTACAGTAACTAGTGCTGTCGCCAAAATTACCTGGTCGCAATTAGTAGCACTATGATTTACAAAAACGCGATCGGAATCAGAACTTACAGTTGCGTGAGGGATAATTGGAATGTATTTGTGCAGTAGTGTGTGATGTTGTCCCGTACACACTCTGCAACGTGATGATTTACATGCTGAAACAGAATGCCCTTTTTTTAAACAGTTTATGCACGCTGGAATTGACTTGACTGCGTCGAACCGTTGTGACACAGGCAATTCAGCAAATGATGTACACTTCGTTATCATATGGATATTAGACATACAATATACGCATTTGGAATCATTGGATTGATTCAGCTTGTTGCAGACAAAGGAGGATTTAAAGCTGCGTTTGTCCCGTTTAACACCGGGTTTTTGGTCACACTCTGGCACTGATTTATTATGCTTTGTAGAAGAGGTCTCGTCCGCTGATAGATGTTGGAACCTTTTATTAAGCGCTGCTTCACAGTCACTCCATAATGGCAAAGTGTTGTAGTCCAGTTGTTCTTCCCATTTTGATTTTGTGACTGAATCCACCTTTTGCATGAATAAATGAATAAGAATTGCATTGGTGATATTCTTATCATCTCCTATTGAAAGAAGGAATCCATAGATGGCAGACACAGTGTCAATTGTAGTCCGCAAAGATGCAGCAGACGGTTTGTGAATTACTGGGAGATCGAAAAGCTTGCTAATATTGTCGGAAAAAATGAGACAATTGTTGTCGTACACCTTCCTTAGACTGGCTAACGCTTTTGGGTAATTCCTCTCAGTGACTTGAAAGGCCTTCACAGTACCAAGAGCTTCATCTGACAAACATGACAGTAAATGGTTGAATTTTTCAATGTCCGTAATAGTTTCATCACTATGAACAAGGCTTTCAAACAAACTAATGAAATTTTTATAATCACAGTATTTGCCGCTGAACTTTGGTAGTCGCATGCTTGGCAACTTCGATTGCGGTCGACCACAGTGGTGCGAGATTGCAGGGGCGCTAACAAGGCGATGTTTTTTCAACTTTTGTAAAAACAAGGACTTAGTTGAAACACAGACATCTTCTAAAACAGCCCTATAGTCATCAGTAGGATCCAGGTCAAATATTTTGCTCTGGTATTGCATCGCTTTGTCAATGTAAGAGTCAAGTATTTCCAATCTACACTCTAGCTCACTAGGACTTTTTGCAACATTGCCTTCTAGTAAGTTTGCCTTTAACCTTAAAATGTCGGCAACTACTGCTTCTCGATTATGGATCAAGGTTTCTACCCCCTTTGGAGATTGCAAAGACTGTGATCGCTTTTTAGTAGGCATTTCAGAAAATAAATAATTACAAGTAACAACAAAAGAGAAAAATATTTTGTACTAAATGAATCGACAGGCTTCACGTTTAGCTGTATTGTATATTTTATTCGTTGTTAATAGATAATGTATAATAATATAAATGATATATTTTTTATTTATTGTTAATATATAATTCAATATAATGTTAATAATGTATATTATATTTTTGTTTGTTAATATAATGCAATGTACTTGTAATCAAAAAAGAGAGAATGCAGATGGCAGTGCTGTTAGGATTCTATAATGAAGGAAAATTGTTATGCTTACGGTGATTTTGCCGCTGTAATTAAATTTTATTTAAGCACTGTCCCTCATCTACATTTCTATTACCTGACAATCCTTTGGTCTCCTATTGCAGCAACAGTCGGTGGTGGTGGAGCAGCAAACCGTTGAATTTAGGTTGCCGTACCAGTACCGTTTGTTGAAAAGAAACTAAACGTGGACCGCGATGCGCAATTGCGGCTTTGAATAGCGGTGTCAGTACCGTTTATTAATGACAAAGAGAAACGTGGACCGCGTGGCAATGTGAACTTAATTTAAAAACCAGAAACACTCACAATAAAACAGATTAAAAAATTAAAAGAAACACTTTAAAATACTCCCTGCTCGGGCGCCATGAAGAAACTTTAATGATTTTTAAAGCTATGTTTTTTTATTTCAAAGTTAAAAAACGGGATCTATGATTTCACTATTTCTTATTTATTGAAAATTAATTTATTAAGTTTAATTGTCAATTGCGCACTTCACCGAACCGACCGTCTTTGTTCGCGAGTAAAATTAGAAGAAAAAAACCAAAAGCAAAAGTGCATTGCACAACCGTATTACAAAAAGAAG